TTTATCAGCCCTCTCCATACCACTCATGATTTTATAGACCTCTATCATATCCCCCCTCAGTCTCCTCTTTTCTAAACTGAAAAGTCCCAGTCGCTTTAACCTCTCCTCATATGGGACCCGTTCCAAACCCCTAATCATTTTAGTTGCCCTTTTCTGAACCCTTTCCAAGGCCAAAATATCTTTTTTGAGGTGAGGAGACCACATCTGTACACAGTATTCAAGATGTGGGCGTACCATAGTTTTATACAGGGGCAGTAAGATATTCTGGGTCTTATTTTCTATCCCTTTCCTAATAATTCCTAGCATCCTATTTGCCTTTTTGACCGCCGCTGCACTCTGTGTGGAAGTTTTCAGAGAACTGTCCACGATAACTCCAAGATCTCTTTCCTGATTTGTCGTAGCCAAATTAGCCCCCATCATACTGTACGTATAGTTGGGGTTATTTTTCCCAATGTGCATTACTTTACACTTATCCACATTAAATTTCATTTGCCATTTTGTTGCCCAATCACTCAGTTTGCTGAGATCTTCTTGGAGTCCCTCACAGTCTGCTTCTGTTTTGACTATCCTAAACAGTTTGGTATCATCTGCAAACTTTACTACCTCACTGCTTACCCCTTTCTCCAGATCATTTATGAATAAGTTGAAAAGGATTGGTCCCAGGACTGACCCTTGGGGTACACCACTAGTTACCACTCTCCATTTTGAAAATTTACCATTTATTCCTACCCTTTGTTTCCTGACTTTTAACCAGTTCTCAATCCAAGAAAGTCCTAGTTTTTTCAACATCCTCTGGCAAGGAGTTCCACACGTTGACTGTGTGCTGTGTGAAGAAAAACTTCCTTTTGTTTGTTTTAAACATCTATCTATTCATTTCATTTGGCAACCTCTAGTTCTTATATTATGGAAACAAGTAAATAACTTTTTCTTATTCATTTTTTCCACACCAGTCATGATTTTATAGACTTCTATCATATACCACTTTAATCTCCTCTTTTCTAAGATGAAAAGTCTCAGTCTTTTTAATTTCTTTTCATATGAGACCCATTCCAAACCCCTAATCATTTTTGTTGCCCTTCTCTAAACCTTTTCCAATGCAAATATATCTTTTTTGAGATGAGGCGACAACCTCTGTACACAGTATTCAAGATGTGGGTATATATGTTTCATATAGAGGGAATAAGATATTCTCTGTCTTATTCTCTATCCCTTCTTAAATGATTCCTAACATTCAGTTTGCTTTTTTGACTGTTGCTGCACACTGAGCAGATGTTTTCAGAGAACTATCCACAATGACTCCAAGATCTCTCTCTTGAGTTCTTGTAGCTAAACTAATCCCCCTCATATTGTGTGTATAGTTGGGATTATTTTTTGCAACGTGCATTACTTGAAATTTATCAACATTAAACTTCATTTGCCATTTTGTTGCCCAATCACTTAGTTTGGTTAGACATTTTTGAAGCTCTTCACAGTTTGCTTTGGTCTTAATTATCTTGAGCAGTTTGATGTCATCTGCAAATTTTGCCACCTCACTGTTTACCCCTTTTTCCACATCATTTATAAATAAGTTGAACAGGATTGGTCCCAGGACAGACCCTTGGAGGACCCCACTAGTTACCTCTCTCTATTCTGAAATCTTACCATTTATTCCTACCCTTTGTTTCCTGTCTTTTAACCAGTTATCAGTCCATGAAAGGACTTCCCTCTTATCCCTTGAGGACTTACTTTACTTAAGAACATTTGGGGAGGGACCTTGTCAAAGGCTTTCTGGAAATCTAAGTATACTACATCTACTGAATTCCTCTTGTCCACATGTTTGTTGACCCCCTCATAGAACTCTAGTAGATTAGTAAAACAGGATTTCCCTTTATAGAAACCATGTTTACTTTCCCCCAACAAATTATGTTAATCTGTGTGTCTTCATTATCTGCAATACCTGCATTACCCGGAACGCTCCCCCTTACCCTCCCACCCACAGCTCTTCCACTGTTTGTCATGGTCATTTATGGCTTCTCTGCAATCTCTTTGGGCAGAGGCCATATCACCCTATGTTTGTGCAGCACTCTGTACATGAGGGCTTGATCTGGCTGAGGCTTCTGGTACTTCTACAATACAGATTAAAAAGAGGAGCAATGTCAGGGAACCTAGTGAGCTAAGAGGGCTCTCTCAGGTGCCCAGTCTGGTGGAAGTGGCAGTTCAGGGGAGCAGAAGGGGGCAGGAAAGAGGCTGGGTGATCTCAGGACAAAGCTCAGTTAATTGTGCTGTATGTTTACATCTAAGCTGAAAACATAAGAACATAAGAATGACTATTTTGGGTCAGACCAAAGGTCTATGTAGCTCAGTATCCTGTCTTCTGACAGGAGCCAATGCCAGGTGCCACAGAGGGAGTGAACAGAATAGGTAGTCATCAAGTGATCCTTCTTCTGTCATCCATTTCTAGCCCGTGCCAAACAAAGGCTAGGAACACCATTCCTACCCATTCTGGCTAATAAGTACTGTTGGACCTAGCCTCCATGAATTTATATAGTTCTTTTTTGAAGCCTGTTAAAGTCCTGGTCTTCACAACATCCTCTTGCAAGGAGTTCCACAGGCTGACTTGCGCTGTGTAAAGAAAAACTTCTTTTTGTTTCAGAGGGGTAGCCATGTTAGTCTGTAATTCAATAAACTTTAAAAACAACGAACAGTCTTGCAGCAACCATCTATATTTTTTGGTTAGTCCCTAAACTCCTGCAGGATTATTTGTTGTTAGGTTTTTCCTTTTATTTGTGTTTTGTTTCTTTTTGTGAACAAAATCAAGTCAAAAGGCAAAAACACGCTATGGAAAGCTACCCCAGAATCCAGCTCTTTATTAGGTAAAATATGCCCTATGGACTACATCTCGAAGAAGGCTTTGGGACCAGCCATGCAGTCACTTCCATCAGCCATGTAACCAAAGGGACTATCCCATAGTACTGAAAGTCTAAGAGGCAGAAACACTCACCATCAATTTTATTGGCCACCACAATGCAGGGGATCTCTGGACGGAACTCCCTCAGCTCCTTGTACCAGTTACTCAGATTCTTATAGGTGACCTTCCTCTGCACATCAAACACCTGCCAAGGAAGAGCAACCCACAGCATTGAGCATTTGCAAAGAACTCATCTCACCATGCAAACTCACTGCCTTTCTGTTTAAACACACAGAAGTGCAGAGCTAGTGTCTGAAGGGAGGATGCTGAAAGGAGATGCTTAGATTGGACTAAAATTTTGATACCACATGCATGGAACCTCACTGTCAGAATTCATTACTGTCAGAATTGGCTTAAACCAGACACCAGCACAGGGGCTGAAAACTGGCAGGAAGGCAGTAAGAGAGATGTATGCTCAATGGGAAATTACCTTCAAGCCATTAAAAATAAACCAGCCCTTCTCCTTGCACCACTAGCAGCCTCTTGGTCCCCCCATATTGTGCTGAGTGAACAGCACTGAGGATGGGGAATGGTCTAGTGTGTTTAGTGTGTTTTGTAAGGACAGCTGTCAAGCCCAGTCTGATTTAACAAATTCATTCATGCTCTAACAAGGGTGTCAGTAACATGTTAATGAGGTTTACAAATGACACAAAGCTAGGGGGAGTTGAGAACAACGGTGTGGACAGAGGAAGGAGATTAAAGCTTGGAAAAGGGAACACACCAGTGGGAAGCAGCAATGGCTGAAAGACAAGGGCAGCAAATGGGACATTACTTTGCAACACATTCATCCTGCAGAACAGGCCAATACAGCTTTGTGCTGCATGCTCCAAGGCATCAAATCAAAGCAACAAAGGGACAGAGTCTCCCTATATGGAGGTGATGCGACTGAACCAAGAAAAGTGCATTCTGTTCTGGGTAGGATATTACTGAAAAGCTGTTGATGAAATGGACAGAGTAGAGAGTGTCAAAACTTCAGTCATCGAAATCCCCTTGAGACTGTCACTTGAATTGCTGAAATACCACCGAGCCTGTCTATCTGCTCTCTGGGGAGCCAGACCCTCCAGTCTCTTCCAGCAATGGCACAGAGTTGGAGTCACAACCTGTAGCAGAGCAGCACAGACACTGAGAGTAGATCAGCTCTGGGAAGGCTCAGTCAAAGGAACTTAACACAACACCCAGGTGCACAGTCCCAATGGGACCAGAACCCCAGATAAAGCTCATTAGTTATTGGGCCCCCTTATCAATGAAAGAGAGATATGCACAACTATTTTTCCCCCAGATAATTATTTATACTGGATTTATTAATAAACAAAAATGATTGTATTAAATATAAAAGGTAGGATGTAAGTGGTTGCAAGTAACAGCAAACAGATCAAAGTAAGTTACTAAGCAAAATAAAACAAAGCATGCCAGCTAAGCCTTATACTCAAAGACACTTGTTATATGCATTTTCTTACCCTAAGGGTACGTCTAGACTACATGCCTCTGGCGACAGAGGCATGTAGATTAGGCTACCAGACATAGGAAAATGAAGCGGCGATTTAAATAATCGCCGCTTCATTTAAATTTACATGGCTGCCGCACTGAGCCGACAAACAGCTGATCAGCTGTTTGTCTGCTCAGCGCGATAGTCTGGACGCGCAGGTGTCGACATCAAAGGTATTTGCCGATCACCCAGGTAAACCTCCTGGGATGAGGTTTATTAATTATTTAAATTGCCGCTTCATTTAAATTTACATGGCTGCCGCACTGAGCCGACAAACAGCTGATCAGCTGTTTGTCGGCTCAGCGCGATAGTCTGGACGCACGGGTGTCGACATCAAAGGTATTTGTCAACCACCCAGGTAAACCTCATCCCAGGTTAAATAAGCCCTTTTCTGGAGGATTCCTTATTCCTACTTTCAAGTAGGAATAAAGGATCTTCCGGAAAAGGGCTTATTTTCCGGAGAATCGCATCTACACTGGCGCTTTTCTCCGGCAAAAACCCCGAGCCGGAAAAAAGCGGCAGCCATGCAAATGCAAAAGCCACGGGGGATATTTAAATCCCCCGCGGATTTGAAATTCCGAAGTGTCTCATTAGCATCCCTTTTCCGGAAAGGGATGCCAATGTAGACATAGCCATTATGTCTACATTAGTAAACAGGTTTATACTTCAGATTTCTAACTTCAAATACAGGAATGATACATGCACACAAAGAGAATGTACACATGCATCAGATTGTACCTTTTAAATGATCTGTTAGATGAAGTACTTTGCATAAAGCATATTTGAGTTATCCTATTCATAAGCATATTTCCATAAAAACTATGGGGTGCAACATCATAAAGAGAACAACAGAAGTACAAAGGTATGGAACGAGGGAGGGAGGGAATAAATAGTAAAGCTCTATTTCACGGCCATAGGATTTGAAAATTGTCAAATTTCATGTTTTCAGCTGTTTAAAACTGAAATTTTGTCATATTGTAACCAAGCGTTCCTGACTCAAAAGGAGATGGTGGAGGGAATGAGGAGGGGGTGGTTTCGCCTGTTATGAGGAGGTCATGGGATTATCACCCTCACATCTGTGCTGCCTTCAGAACTGGACTCTGAAAACAAAAACCACAGAGCTTCCTGCAACCACAGGTGATTCCAAGAAGTATAAGAGGGTCTAGAAGCACCCCAGGTAGGATCTCATCACTGCTAGTCTTGGCCTGCTTGGGAAGGACAATACTTGCTCTCTCTCCACATAGCCACAGAATGTGCTGCATCTCCTGCCCCACACTCAGCTGTAGGAACCTCAGAGTCTCTGCCAAGTGCCAGAGACCCAGGCGCCAATGCAGCTTTGGGGCAGGGGGACCCCCACCCCCATGCATTTTACTCTCCCCTCATCCACTCCTGGTGCTGCCCAGCCCTGGAGCTACAGCCTGGGCAGCAATCACCCTCTAGCACAGTGCTTCTCAAACTTTTTGGTCCATGGACCATCTGGCTTAATGCAAACTTTCCATGGACCATCAGTGGCTAATGGGAACTCACCATTAATTACATAATGAGGGTATGTCTACACTACAAAGTTAATTCAAACTAACAGCCGATATTTCGAATTAACTTTAATAGGCGCTACACATACAAACCGCTAGTTCGAACTTAATTCGAACTAGCGGAGCGCTTAATTCGAACTAGGTAAACCTCATTCCACGAGGACTAATGCCTACTTCGAATTAAGTAGTTCGAATTAAGGGCTGTGTAGCCACTTAATTCAAACTAGTTGGAGGCTAGCCCTTCCCAGCTTGCCCTGGTGGTCACTCTGGGCCAAGCCATGGAAACTCTTCTGCCCCCCTCCTGGCCCCGGAGCCCTTAAAAGGCCACGGTCTGGCTACGGTGCCCATGCCAGGTGCAAGCCTGCCAGCACCCAGCCAGCAGACCCTGCACCTGGCACGGCATGAGCCAGCCACCTGCTGCCACCCAGCCCTCTGCCTCTTAGCCTGCCCGGGGCTGCAAGAGACGGGAGCCCGCCTGGTCTAGTGCGGAGATTGTAGACTTCATCCAGGTTTGAGGGGGGAGGCCTCCAACGTCCACAATCTCTGCACAAGGCACAGGAAAGTGGCCGTCTAGGGCAGGTTAGCTGCCAGCCTGGCCACCAAAGGCCACATGTGAACCCAGGAGCAGGTTTGCATGAAAATCAAGTTGGTCCAGTGAGACCCCAGACCCTGAGCCCTGAGCTTAGAACATAAGAACGGCTGTACTGGGTCAGACCAAAGGTCCATCTAGCCCAGTAGCCTGTCTGCCGACAGCGGCCGACATCAGCTACCCCGGAGGGGATGGACTGAAGAAAGTGACGAAGCCATTTGTCTGGTGCCATCCATGTCTAACCTTCCACAAACAGAGGCCAGGGACACCATTCCTACCCCCTAGCTAATAACACTCCATGGACCCAACCTCCATGACTTTATCTAACTTCTCTTTAAACTCTGTTCTCGTCCTAGCCTTCACAGCCTCCTGTGGCAAGGAGTTCCACAGGTTGACTATTTGCTTTGTGAAGAACTTTCTTTTATTAGTTTGAAACCTGCTACCCATTCATTTCATTTGGTGTCCTCTAGTCCTTATATTATGGGAACTAATACAATAAAATTAATGGAGATTGCGTATCTCCTAGAACAGAGCCAGGTCCAATCCCCTGCCTTCACAGCAGGACCAAGTACTATCCCTGACAGATTTTTTGCCCCAAATCCTTAAATGGCCTCCTCAAGGATTGAACTCACAATCCTAGGTTTAGCAGGCCAACACTCAAACCACTGAGCTATCCCTCCTACTCTCCTTATTCACTACCTATCTGAAATGATTTTATAGACCTCTATCATATTCCCCCTTAGTCTCCTCTTTTCTAAGATGAAAAATCCCCTTTTTTAAATCTCTCTTCACATAGCACCTGTTCCAAATCACTAATTATTTTCATTGCCCTTTTCTGAACCTTTCCAAATCCAAGATATCTTTCTTGAGATGAGGCAACCACATCTGTACACAGAGTTCAAGATGTGGGCATACCATGGATTTATAAAGAGGCAGTAAAATATTCTCTACCCTATTCTCTATCCCTTTTTTAATGATTCCTAACATTTTGTTTGTTTGTTTTCCACTGCTACTGCTGAATACTGAGTGGATGTTTTCAGAGAACTATCATAGTGACTCCAAGATCTCTCTCAAGTGATGATAGCTAAATTAGTCTCCATCATTTTTTATGTATAGTTTGGATTATTTTTTCAAAAGTGCATTACTTGCATTTATCAACATTAAAATTCATTTGCCATTTTGTTGCTCCATCACCTAGGTTGTATTTGCTTCAGGATGTATTCACTTGTATTTCGCCACACAGCCCACTACTTTTAGAAGTTCATAAGGAGTAATGAACAATAAAATGACTACACACACACCCACACACCCACCCACCCACCAATGTATTTCAGATTATAAAACCAATTATGAGTACGGCCATACCAAATTCATGGGTCAATTTCAGGATCATACAACTTTAAAAATCACGTGTCATGATTTCAGCTATTTAAATCTGAAATTTGATGGCACTGTATGTGTCCTTATCCAAGGAGGACATGTGGAGGAACTGCAAGACTATTGTCAACAGGGTAACAGTACTGCTCCCTCACTTCTTC